TCTTTTCACACTCAATCATATTTATTGTCATGTTCACTAGTCATACTCATTGTCCAACGTTATGGCACGATGTATTGATTTCGTTTCACTTCACAACACACATCGTCAACACATTCATTCATTGTTCATCTACAACATTATCTACTAATATAATCTCTTTTCACACTCAATCATATTTATTGTCATGTTCACTAGTCATACTCATTGTCCATGTTAAATGCCCACAAATCCTAATTTTAACAAACCCTAATTTCAAACATACAAAAAGAAGAATGAAAATGGAGGCGAACGGCTGCGCAAAGGCGACGAGTTGGAGTGCGGTCGTGCCAGTAGAAGGCGACGGGCCTGGATGGGGACGGAGGTTGGGTGGTGATGGTAGGTAAGCGCAACGGCAAAGGGGAGCGGCTGGGCAGATGCGGGCATGGCTCGGGATGGAAGCGGTGAACATGAATTGGGACGTTGTCAGCTCACATGCCTAGGGACGACGACAGGGTGTTAGCGTTGGTCTGGAAGGTGATTGGGGCGAGCGGGCATGGGGTTGGGGTAGGTAGTCAAGCAAGCGACTGGATGCATTGGTGGTCGGCGATCATGCTCCTGGATGGCAGCGGACGGCGGGCCGTGGAGCGACAACGGCAGAGGGCGTGTGGCAGGGGGCATGAGGCGGATGAATCTCTAGAGGCGAGATACTTGAAGCTAGGGTTGGAGAAAAGAGTACGAGCTTTGGGTTTTATATAGATATAACTTTGTTTTGAACGAAGAGGGCTTAGATTGATAAAAAAGCATTCAGATATGGCTTAAAATAACAAAAGGACCACATGTAACCATCCGCCCTTGGACCAGACTCAAAGTTAATCACCTTTGACAAAACAATATAACTCGTTCATCCCAACTTGGGCATAATAAAGCCAAAGACGATTACCGCAGATCTCTCATCATCCACTCCTAATGCAAAAATCTTACGGCATAAAATAAAATAAAAACCAACAACATCCGTCTTAGCGTGGAAATAAAAATGCAAAAACGCAAATAAATAAACACCGCAGCTAGTCCTCTTAAGCAGAATCACCATATGCACCACCGGCGGGTCTAGAAACCCTGACCCCCCCGCCTCCCCATTTTTTGATTCATCTAGTGCCATGCCCTCCCAAACAGCTACTCTTTTATTTGGTCTTCCCAAATCCTCCTCTGTTTCGCCTCCCCTGGAACCTCCTCAATGTCACTTATCCCTCCCTTCTTTGACACGTTGTTACTTGTTTCTGCTGAGGACTCACGTCCATCCTGTGCCCCTACCCTTCACTCTCTAGACCTGTCTTCCGCTGTAGCCTGGCATCTCCTGAGCTTGAAGCATTATTCACTAACCACTTATTAGTCCATGTGGGACTTATCTTCCCCCCTCCACCAGCCTGGAGTTCTACCCCAAAAGTTTTCTCCACCACAATACCTTCCTCATATTTCAAGAGGCAGAATTTGTCAGAATGCCCAATCACTCCACACATGAAGCAAAAATTAGGTAGTTTTTCATATTTAAAATCTATCCAATGTCCAATTCCCTCTTTTTTTAAAAAAAAAATTCCCTTCTTGAGAGGCTTTCTCACATCCATGCACACCCTTATTCTCATATAAGATTCTCATTTTTCCTCAAACCGGTTCTTATCAAAACTAATAAAAGTGCCAATATAGATTCCTATTCTCCTAGCAGATCCCAGATTCATGAATTTAAATGGTACATTGTGGACTTGTACCCAGAACTCAGTCTCACGCAAAATCATCTTATGAGGTATATCATCTGGCTGAACAGCTTTCAAGAGTAGTAAATCTCTTTCCAGCAACCAAGGGCCATCCTCCAGCACACGATTCATATCCGCAATATGTTAGAAAGTAAAAATGTACCTTTTATCTCCAATTTCTTTGATGGAAACCCCTTTTCCCGGGCGCCAAATTGAAGCCAAAAGGTCTTTGAATACCTGGAATTTGATTTTCCGGTCAGTAAGCACGACCCCGACCACCGGGAATTCCCTTCTTTCGTCGATTGCATCAACCTTCGTGGCTTCATCATCATCAAAATTGAGTTCGTTGTCTTCCTCGCCAATATCCATCTTCTTCTAATTATTTACGATATCATCCATCGAAACAGCCCCTTCGGATTCATTCCCTACCCTCTGTCTGTTCAGGCCGAGGACTAAAGCAGCCGCCGAGCAGCACTTCTTCTTTTCTCCCGCTGGAACTTTGACGGAATCACCAACCCGCAACAAGCACGATCGCAGAAGATTGCGAAGACCTTATGTGCGCTGTTCTCGATTGCAGTCGAAAATGGAAAAGACCTCTAGCGGCTAAACCCTAGAGAGAAAACTCCTATTGCATTATATAGATATAACTCAAAGAGTGTATTTGCTCACCAAATTTATTTATTACGAATTTTAATTAAATATTGTGAATTTTAATATTATTTTGATAAAAGAACTAGTTAGGTCATAGATTGAGACAAAAAAAAAGTTTGAATCATATCTAGAGTAATTATCTCAGATTTTACCAATTACAAACTAAAATGTACCAAAGTTTATGTATTATGTAAACACTATCAAATGTGCAGGTGAATCTAATCCTTAAGTAAATGGTAGAATTTTGTCTGTACACCATAATCATCGCAGATTATACCGTGCAACCGGCGCACCGTGAGGATGGTGCGCCCGGTTGCAAAACGACGGAGTATTGTGGCCCGGTTGCAAAATGACGGAGTATTGTGGCCCGGTTCCATTATTTTTTATTCCTTTTATTGTTAAAAATTGTAATAACTTTTTTATTTTATATCCGATTTTTTTATAAAATTTATATCAAATTATGGAACTATTATATAAATGATTATTGGATTGTAAGAAAAACCGAACTAAAGTTAATACAGAAAAATAATTGTATAAATCACAATTTATCTTAAAATTGTGTATATAAAAAATTTATTGTATTAGGTATTTATACATGTGAGTTACATATTTTTATATGTGAAGTTACATATTTTTATATGTAAAGTTACATATTTCTACACACGAGTTACATATATATACACATGAGTTGCATTTGACCTGCCTGAACGCGAGTTACATATATTTACACGTCAAGTTACATATTTTTACACTTAAAGTTACATATTTATACACGCGAGTTACATATTTATACACACGAGTTGCATTTGACCTGTCTGAATGCGAGGTACATATTTTTTATACGTAAAGTTACATATTTTTACACGTAGAGTTACATATTTATACACACGAGTTGCATTTGGCCTGACTGAACATGAGTTACATATTTTAACACGTAAAGTTACATATTTTTACACGCAAATGTTAATATGTTAAAATTACATATGCAATATTGGTCTCGTTTGAAAGATCATGAAAAATAAAAAATTTTGATATAAATTTTATAAAAATCGGATCAAAAATAAAAAAAATTATTAACATTTATAAGAAAAGGAGAAATAAAAAATAACAAAGCCCACTGCAATTTGGCATGGTATACCATGCGCACCGTGGGACGGTTGCATGGTATACGAACTCCATAATCATTCGTTCATAGTGGGGATCGTTTAAAGGTTAGATTTGTATCAATGCACTTGTGTGTCTTCCGCATTAGAATAAATCACAAGTTAAGTGTATTTTTTTACGAGCCTATTTGGTAATGGATGCAATGACTGAATAGGCTTTATAGGCTGAAAAGACTTAGGGGTCATTTACCTTTTTTTCATTAAGTCCTGAATGGATTAAGATGTCTGTCTGCATTAAGCCGTCTGTCTGGATTAAGTTACACTGAGATAACAAGCTGTTTACTAAGTGTGCTGAGTGAGAAGTCTGAACAAATGCTGAATGTATACTGTCTGTTTACTTTCTTTGTTATGAAAGATAAAAGGAGGTTACATCAATATGGATAGAACAAAACATCTAACACCAAAATTTTTCTCCACATGTCATCTAGAGAAAGAAGGAACAATTGATGTTAAACTAATCAAGTCCTGCAACAATTCTGCTAATTTATTCACAAAATTATTGCCCTCGAAAAAAATTGAAGAACTTGTCCATAAAATTGGGATGTGTCGTCTTCGAGATATATGTTAAATCAAGGAAGGGTATTAACGAGGCGACTAGTACCCTTGAATAACTAGAAGATGATCATTCAACATGAAGTGTTAAAAGATAATTTAATTCGTCATCTTCTAACTATTTATGATTACGAATTATTATCACCGTTATAAAACTAATTAGGAAATCATAATTATGATTTCAATGTGATAATGGTGTGGCTCATAATCATCTACTATTCTCATTGAGTTCACACTTTCTTCCACAAATAAGAGTCTTCTTCATTGTAACTAAGACACTACTAAGAACACCTCTCTTAAAAGCATACTTAATATATTATATCCTTTCTTATATTCTGCTTTTTTCATTATATTTCATAACACTAAGTATAATTTATTCCTCAAATAAAACTTATTTAGTCTTATTGAGAATAAAAAATTGATATTCTTAATTATGAATTTTATCATTGTTTTGATCCTATTTAAAGAATTCTCTAAATGATATACAGTTCACAAAGTTGACGATGTGAGTAATTACCACATTTATTTATAACTTATTTAGATCCCGTTTCATAACACTGAAATTGGCTGAATCGGCGGATTCTGCCGAAATTTATGAAGTTGTGACGGAAGTGCTTGAATTGACTGATTCTACTGATTTGTGAAAGAAATTTAAAATATTTTTTATTAATAAAATAAAATAAAAATATATGAAAAATAGTCATTCTTGTATTAAAAATAATTTTAACTTTATTTTTTCTTATTATTACAAAATCTAGCGCACAAATAAAAAATTATGTGTTTGATGAAAAAATTAACTGATAAACCTAATAAGCTGAAAAACAAGATCTCCAAACAGGTTCTTATTTATAAAGTTGCAGGCCTAAAGATAGAATCTAATGGGCCGACAAGTTATCCATAGCCTTCACATTTCAGTCTGGTCCATCTTCAACTGATTCCTGGCTTCTATCATCTAGAATAATTCTCCGTATAATATTACATAAACCCTAACGGTTATTGGCTTCCGTCATCGCTCGTTGATCGAGCTGCTCCCCAGGGGTTTACACCCTAAACCCTTCTATACGTTGTTGGGCAGTTCAACTCTCTGAAGATGGTGAAGAAAAGCAAGAGTATGCTGTCTCTACCCTTTTATCTTTAATTTCGATTTAATCTACCTTCTTCAATGGAATTGTGCTTTGAGTTAATATTTTTTTGGGATTGGTACCTGCTATGCAGAGAGTAAGAGCAAGAGGGTATCCCTGAAGAACAAGTACAAGGTTATACGGAAGGTGAAGGAGCACCACAAGAAAAAGGCTAAGGAGGCGAAGAAGGCGGGCCTCCACCGCAAGTCCAAGGTTGAGAAGGACCCCGGCATCCCCAACGACTGGCCCTTCAAGGAACAAGAGCTCAAGGCTCTAGAAGATCGTCGTAATAGAGCCCTCGAGGAACTGGAGCTGAAGAAAGCTGCCCGCAAAGAGAGGGTACTATTTTTACTATTTACAACATTGAAATGCTTGATTTTATTCTCTACGTTATACAAGAATCAAACTTTAAAAAGCATTGAAGCTTAACTAGGACCAACTAGCTAGCTTTACTTGTGCTATGTTAAAACGTAGGAATTGATCAATGTTGAGAGATATCTATTCTTGTATGACATGCCAATGGAAGCAATAAAACCACTCTTTGCTTGAAAATCTTTATAAAATTACAATTTTTATCCTTTGACCTAACACCCCTGGTCTATGTCATCTTACATTAGTGGATTATTGATAAACAGATAAGAAATTTAATCGAAAAAGTTTAACATTGAGGACTAAAAGCAATCCAATGGAGCACAGTTGGATTATATTTACAAAAATAGACTAGAAACGACAACAATGACTAGTCATCCACAAAGGCAAAATTAGCCCCTTTATATTTAAAAAATATACTGAGGATCAAGCCACTGCTTCTGATGTACTCGCTCGCAGAGTACTTTGTTGGATATATATTCTTTCTTACAACTTCAATATGCAAGGAATGAAAAACAAAAATCACTGTTTTTTATTAGTTTCTTAAGTAGACTGCATTGTTTCTCACTCTTCTGGAAAAATGCTACTTGCTTGATACTCTTGAATCTCAAAGATTTCTCAAGCAGTGCCTGAATAGATTAGTTGTTTTATTTTCTAAGTTCCTCCTTCCCGTGTAAGATACATTTTTCTTCCATTCTTTGTTCACCCCTTTCTATTAGTCACCTTATAGGCATTCCTTTTTAATATTTTATCAGGCTAAGAAGCGAAAATTGGGTCTTCTTGAGGATGACGACTTGTCGAAACTTGCAGACATGGCTTCTACAAAAGAGCAGAAGTTTGTCGCCGAAACTATTGGTGATGGTCTTGTAGCCGTTGGTAAAAAACTTGGTATGCTAGAAAGCTTTCTACACTTCACATTCGTGTGGGTTTGTGCTCAAAGATGTTGTTTTTTTGCCACTTCATATTTAGTGTTTTTATTTTTTCATTGCAATCATGCAGATAACTCTGATCGGGCCTTCTACAAGGAATTAGTCAGAGTTATTGAAGCTTCTGATGTTATATTGGAAGTCCTTGATGCCAGAGATCCACTTGGTACCCGATGCATTGACATGGAAAACATGGTTATGAGATCAGGGCCTGACAAACGTCTTGTATTGCTCCTTAATAAAATTGGTATGTTTTTTCCTTCTAACTGTCTCTGGCTCATTTTACCTCTTCTTGTTTTCTAATTATACAGTTCACATGTTATATTTTTTAAAATTTCAGACCATCAAGGAATTTTAGTGGTTCAAGCTGTATTTACATTGCTTTGCTGATTACTTAGCTGAACAATAATTTCATGCCGTTATTAAAACTAGAAACAAAAATTTCTTAGATTGAATTTCTCTTATCTATACTGATGGAGTGCTAGGTAAGTTTAAGAGAATGGGTATGATGGAGGGGAATGCATATACCTTTTTGAGGGGGTTGGTTAGTTACTCCAAAGTGGGGACCTGATCACCATTCACTTGTCATTCCTTTCTCACTATATTTTAGGTTTAGACATTGGAGTTATGATTTACTTAAATAGAATGGACTTGCTATGTTTTACTATCAACAGTTCAGATTGAAACGTTAGTTGAATATAATGTTTAGTCTCTATATAGACTTAGCATAGCCTTGTGTTGGGTTAATGTAATTTCCTTTCCTATTTTTAACAACTAGAGTATATGCTGCTTCCTTCTCAGATCTAGTCCCTAGGGAAGCTGTTGAAAAGTGGCTCAAATATCTCCGGGAGGAATTCCCAGCTGTTGCTTTCAAGTGTAACACTCAAGAGCAAAAGTCAAACTTGAGTTGGAAATCCTCAAAAGCTAAAAAGACTGCCAATCAGTTGCAGACAAGTGATTGCCTTGGTGCAGAAACACTATTAAGTTTGCTGAAAAATTACTCAAGAAGCCATGAAGTAACTAAGTGCAGAAACACTTGATTTCTCCATATTTTCCTGTTGAAATTTAGAACTTTTATTTATTTCATTTGTTAGGATGGTTCAAGTCGGAGTACTGTGGGTGTTTTTTTATCTTTTTCATTCTGTGTTGTTACCTCAAGTAATTCGAGTTAAGTGCTGTAGTTAGTAATGTTTTGTTCTTGCTGCAGATCAAAAAATCTATTACTGTGGGGATTATTGGTTTGCCGAATGTTGGAAAAAGTAGTTTGATTAATAGCTTGAAGAGGTCACATGTTGTCAATGTTGGCTCTACGCCAGGTTTAACAAGATCCATGCAAGAAGTCCATTTAGACAAGAATGTTAAGCTTCTTGACTGCCCTGGTGTTGTTATGCTTAGATCTGCTGAGAATGATGCATCTATTGCTCTACGCAATTGCAAGAGAATAGAAAAGTTAGAAGACCCGATCGGTCCAGGTATTTGGTTGTGGATTTTCCATTTATGCAGAAAGAATCAATATTACATTTGTCAATAAATTGATGCAATTGCTCTTTGTTATGTGGTTTTGCAGTGAAGGAGATTCTCAAACGTTGTCCTGCTAAAACCTTGGTAACATTATACAAGATTCCCATCTTTGAAACAGCGGATGATTTTCTCCATAAGGTTGCCACTATAAGGGGTAGACTTAAAAAGGGTGGCATTGTTGACATTGATGCAGCAGCAAGGATAGTTCTACACGACTGGAATGTTGGTATGTGTTGTTGGCTGTGGGATTTGTTTTCTCAGGGAGTAGTTGTTAAAAGATTGGAGAACATATCGGTTTAGAAAACTCTCTCGCTCTTTCTTCTTCTCTCACATACATACAGAGAGTGTAATGATCTGATCTTGTGGTGGTGACAGGATTTTGTCAGTAATAACTATAGTTTTGGCCGGAGTTGCTGACGGAGTTCTGTCACTTGGCCTGACAGAGTTCTGCTAGTCCAGCCTGACTTGGTCATTGTTTTCTGTGTGTGTCTCACACACATTCACATATTGAGAGAGTAATGACCTAATCCAAGTGGTGGCGATGGAATTCTATCAGTAATGAGCTTTGTTTTGGACTGACTTGATCATCCTTCTATATATGTGTATATGTGCGTCTTCTATGTATATTGTTTTTTATGTTGTTATATGACAGTTTTGACATATTTCAGGTAAGATTCCGTATTATACAATGCCCCCTGTGAGGAATGATGTAGAGCATTCAGAAATTAGGATTGTATCAGAATTGGGGAAAGAATTCAACGTAGATGAAGTTTATGGCAGTGAATCTTCTTTCATTGGCAGCCTCAAGTCTGTGAATGAGTTCCACCCAGTTGAGGTCCCATCCAACTGCCCGGTTAACTTTGATGAGAGCATGCTTGAGGTAAAAACAAGCTTCTCATACACTGTTTGTTGTGAGAGTATCTGTGTTTCCTTGTCTGATCTTAATTAGTTGCCTCTTTTGTTTCGTCTCTCCATTTGATAAACAACTAATATAAGTCCCTGTAAGATGAATAAATACATAGAAATCTCTTTCTTCTGATAGAAATCTATGTTATTTTAAATAGATAGATTTGTTTTTAGAGAAAATGCAAATATACCCCTGAAGTATATGTGGAGGTGCAGATATACCGCTGAACTTTGAAAAGGTGCAAAAATACCCCTAATGTTCCTATAAAGTAGCAAATTTACCCTTATTGATTATAAATAAATAAGATATATTTAAAGAAATAAAAACAAATTGTAGATTTAAAATTCGAAATTGAAAAAAAAATAAAGATTTAAAAATAAAGATTTTTTTATGTTAATTTGTTAACTATCTAATTTTAAATTGCAAAGTTATTATTTTCCCTTGTAACTGAAGCACTTCAAATTCTTAAATAGTGATTTTAGTCTTGTTGTGAATTTTCAAACACATTTTACATTTTTTGAAATAACATTCTTTGGTTTTGTTTAAACTTAATAAATATGATTTCACTATTTTGTAATCTTGGACTATTTATCATCATACAAGATATGTAATTTTATAGTGCAAAGAATACCAAAAATAATGATTTTGTTACATTGCAACACATATTTAAAACTTTCCCGAAAGAATCATAAATATGTAGTAAAGTTATGAAACATTTTTTTATACTAACAATATTAAGTTGTGATATAAAAATAACAAAAGGGGGATTGGACACAAGTTTTTTTTTTCAATTTCAAATTTAAAATTTCTTTGGTGCTTTTTAAAATTTATATTATTTATTTAAAGTCAATAAGGCTAAATTCGCTCCCTTATAGAAACATGAGGGGTACTTTTGCAGCTTTAAGAAGTTCAAATATGTTTGCACATTTCCTCATTTATTTTTATTTAAATATGTTTCTTGATGTCAGTCGTGCTCTATAATGTGCATGTTAATGTGCATGTTTATTGCACCTTGTCAAGTATATAATTAACTTTATCTATTGATCATTACACAGGAATGTAAAGAAAGAAATGCATATTTGCATCTAATTCATATAATTAAACAATTGATCATTACATAGGAAATTAAGTCATATGAAAGTACATTTAACAAAGATCATTTTCATGATCTTTATATTTTAAAAAATTTCATGTTAAATAATACTACGTATTATTTAACCATCATTTAACAAGAACAGTCAATATGCCATATCTGTTGGGATGAAGGGAGTATTGTGTGGTGTTGACCAGATGTTGTTTGATCTCATGACAGGACAATCCACAACAACCTGAAAGTATAGATATAAAAGACCAAAAGGGAGATGATGAACCCATGGATTCAGGAGAAGAGGATGGAGGTGGCAAAAGCGGCAGTAGCAAGCAAAATGAGAAGTTATACACCGATGAGGGTATCTTGAATACCAAAATGAGAAAAGCTGAGAAGAGAAGGAAGAAAAAGGATAAGGATTCCTCGGCAATGGAAGATGAAGATTATGATTTCAAGGTGGATTATGTCAAACACAACTCCGCCATGGATGTTAGTGAGAATGCCGTTACTGGTGATACAGGTGGTAATAAAAACCGATTTGAGCTACCTTCAGGAGTTATGTTGGAGAATGAATAGTGTAGAATTTGCAGGGTAAACTATATTTCAAAGATATGAGCAAGAATGGAATCACAATGCAATAGATATGGAGTGTTTTATTTATTCCAATTGGTGAACCTTTTCTGTGTAGTGAAGTTTTGGTTAGATCTTGTGTCTTTAGTTCTTTACCTTGTAATTGCCACTAAAGAGGGCACAATATGCTGAAAAATACTCATTTCATTCTTGTATTTTTTGCACTTCGTTTTCAATTTATACAATTTTCATTTGAATATGAGTAATTATTTTTGGATTTGAAGAATGCTGGATTGCTCATTGGATATTGGGATTTGGGACACTACACACAAATACATAATTACCTCTTCAAGTATACTGTACATTCTAATTTCTCAGCAAAGGGTGTTCTCAAGGTCAGGGTAGAGTTTGGAACCACTTCTTGGGGTTAGGGATGGATTCGGGTCCGGGCCGGGTCCGGGCCGGGCCTAGGCCCGGGCGGGCCGGCGGGTCAGAAATGGTGGACCCGGGACCGGCCCGGGTAACCACCGGGTCCGGTCCGGGTCTGGGCCGGTCCGGGCCCATTATATTTTTTTTTTTGTTTTCCTCTTCCTAATTAACCCCCCCCACCCCCAAACCACCCCAAATGGCCCAAAATACCCAGCCCAACCCGAAAATTTAAAAAAAATTGCAAAAAAAAAAATTGTTTGGCCCGAACCGGGCCTGGGCCCGGCCGGGTCGGGCCTTGTTTTGGGTGACCCGAGCCCGGACCGGAAAACCCACGGGCCGGGCCTACCCGGACCGGTCACTGACCGGGCCACCGGGTCGGGCCGGGCCGGAACAGTACCGGTCCCGGGCCGGTTCCGGGTCGGGCCACCCGGCCCGAGTCCATCCCTACTTGGGGTTAATATTAGTTGGTTCACTGACGATCACTTTCTACAATATCACATTATCACCTCCGGCATAAAAATCCAAATGTTGTTTCATTACTTGTCAAACTGTTTTGTTTAATTAAAGGGAAAATTGTCAATTACACCCTCGTACTATGGGCGAATCCTCAATTGAGTCCTCCTACTTCGAAAACCTTCAATTGAATCCGCCAAGTCTCCAAAATCAATCAATTAGGTCTACATTACCGGTTGGTTCCCGGTTTGCCGGTTGCTTGCCTTCAAGGCTTCAATTGATTTTTTACTAGGTTTTTTACTGTTTTTTGATTTTTTTTAATTTTTTTCTTCTCTTTTCTTTTTTCTTTTTCTCTTCCTCTTCTCTTTTCTCTTTCTTTCGTTCTTCCTGGCCGGTTCCTCTTCTGCTCTCCCAATATCCTGCTCCCCCTTCTTCTCTTCTTCCTTTCTTGTCTCCACCAGAAATCCGGTTACTTTCTTCCATTTTTGTTGCCTCCGTCGATTCCACTGGAACGGATTCCGCTGCTCCGGCCTCTCTAGCCACCAACTCTGCCGCCCAGCCTCCATAGCCACGTCTCCAAAGTCCGGCCTCAACCGCCATACACACCACACCGCCTCCGGCCACCACCTGTGTGGCTTCCCCTTCGCCTACTCCATTGAAACAACCTCCAATTGCGTCGGCTTCCATAGCCACCACCTCCGCCGTCCTTACCACCGTACCACCGCTTCCGGCTTCCACCTCCGCTTCTTCCATTGAAACGACCTCCAAGGCTCCAATCGCACCGGCCTCCATAGCCAGTTAGCCGCCACCACCACCACCTTCATGAATCAGCAGTTGCAGACGCGCAGGGAGATGCGGATGCAGGCAGATGCAAAGGAAATACCAAAAGAAAAAGGAAAAGAAAAAATAGAAAAGAGTAAATAAAAAAATGCCAACTGCATGTGCCACGTAGGCGGTCAATCCAATATATAACCGGTTGGTCAAAGTCCACGTCAGCGCCAGGAAGGCAAGCAACCGGCAAACCGGGAACCAACCGGTAATGTAGACCTAATTGATTGATTTTGGAGACTTGGCGGATTCAATTGAAGGTTTTCGAAGTAGGAGGACTCAATTGAGGATTCGCCCATAGTACGAGGGTGTAATTGACAGTTTTCCCTTAATTAAATCGATCAAATGTTTCTGTTTCAGACTATTGGGAATCTATATGTAGTTGGGGCTAGCAATTGTATTCACATTTCATGGATGATTGAAGTACCTGACCTGAAATTATAGACAAATTTTTAAAAACATGGATGAAGGATGAGTTGACAGAGTGATAGACCGTGTCATCTATAAGAAATACATAAATGATATACGGTGTGACAAATAAATAAATACATGAATGTCCCTATATTTGTTCTTTATTTGAAATTATGTGTTTTTATATTTGTTTTTGGATGAATATGAAAAATGCTCCGAAGAAAAATATAGTAGTTTCAGAATGGCATTCCCCTGTGTTTGACTTCTTAATAATCCCACATTCCCACTTCACTGCATGTCCCTTGGGATGCCAAGCAAAGTCTTGATGTTGCTCCAAATCCTGGAAAGTAAAATGGCATAGGGAAAAGGTGTGCGGCCGTCGGCTGTTATAGGTTTTAATTCTTCCAGAAAAAAGTTCACATGTTCTCGTTCTCAGATGTATAGTTGTTGAGTATATTTGTTCATTCTTGAAGATGTCATCGTCTTGGAAACACATAAATAAACAATATGGCAAATAAAACAAATGAAATATTATTCTTTTAAAATAGGTACTTTACGAGTGTTGTCTAGGGTGTGCCAGCCAGGCAGCCGAGGCCACTTCAGTACTACAGGCACTGTATGGAAAACAATTTTTTCTGTAATGGTCTCATGAAATTAACCCAAAAATAAGGATCTAAAGAGACGTTTGAAAGTTTTGAAAAATAAAATGAGGTCGCAAATTCTAATGCTGTTTTTCCAACAGAGGCCACAAATATGAACTATAGATGAGCACCATGTTTAATCTTTGAAGACGTAGTAAAGAAGAGAAACGATTGTTAGCCCTCATTGGATAAGCCAAACGGAGTATCTTCGTCGGGAGAATCAGATTCCCCATTGAAGTCCTGGGCATTTGAGTTGGGATATGCTGACACTACTGAATTAAGTGGACTTGGGTGTCCAGCAGCATTAACATCACTATTTGGTGTGGCTGGCTTTGGAACAAGACCTTGTGCTTCCCATGTTTCACGTGCTGCTTTTTCCTTGGCCTTTTTAGCCCTATCCAAAACCTCCTCCTGCATTTTTGCATTAAATTCTGTCAGAGCATGTATTTCTTAGCAAAGCATTCAAGAAGGGAATAAGGGATGATGTGATGCTCATACACTATTATTCTATTGAACAAGGTTTCATACAATATTGGGAGATGGAGCATTGCAATGACTCATGCATCATGATATACTTTACCACCCTACAACATCAATGTCTGATAAGTTACAATAGCTTTTTCACAGCCTGTAGTTTATTGTCATGGATATATAAAATCCCTTAGCAGACAATGAGAGTGCATAAATTTGAAGAACTCTGTGCTGCAATTTTTTTTTTGGGAATTTGTTCGTTAATATGTACTAATGTACATTTAAGCATTTTAGGTTGGGAGTTGGAAATTCAAAGGTGGCGGTCATCTAGACTTTAGCCCATTCCATCGAAGAGTATTACAGAAGACTTGGAATCTAAATACATCAGTCAGCCTTATATCCATCATAGAAGCCTCTTAACCCACTTTCACCCTGCCCATGTAAGTTCTATATTTAAAAAAGAATAATAATGAAATCAAACTCAGCCTGAATTCTGCAGATCTATTATCTGCAGAATAATAATATCGTCACTGTTAGAGTTACTTTTTGCTGTTGGTTCATCTCCAATTGAGCCTTTTAGAGTAATATGCAGTCCTGGATTTACATATTTGGAGAAATTATACTATTGGTCACTAGATATGTGAGATTAGGAAGGATTGAATCAATTTTTATCAAAATACGTGTGTGTGAATTTAACTAGCAACAGTTAATTTACAACGTGCATTCTTATATACATATGCTGAATCAGAATACTTTGCAGAAAACGGCAATTCCCTGTGAATCAAAAGCACAAACACACAAGAGAAAAATTTGACACGCATACTAGGTTGTGCCCATATATAGTCACATATTTCGCAGAACACTTTGGAATGGAAACAAATCTTCATATCGACAGAATGACAGGGTTACTTGAAATATTCTCACAACACCTCAACTTTCATTCAGATATCATTGCCAGGCAGGACTAATCACAAGTTCACCAACCCTACATAGTTATATATTAACACCAGTGATGAACTGACGATGTTACAACACTCTAGTGATTCAAATCTTAATCCACTGCACCTAACCCACCTTGAGTATCTTGATTTGTTTCCAGCAATAAAATGTTACTCTTACAATGTATTTACATAGCAAAGTTTGTTGTATTTCATCCATTAAGGACTACTGACAGTGGCAGATTAGGGTGGCAGATTAGGGAGGCTGGGGCTTAAGGAATTTATATTGGGGGGTCAAAGCTTAAATTTTCACTATATTTTTTACTGCTTATTAATATTCGTACATATAAATACACACACACAAACACACACAACACACACACATTTTCTCTTGGGGGACCGAGGCCCCGCCAGCCGCCACTGTCTCCACCCTTGGCTAAAGTCTGGATAGCTGCCATTTTAATACATGAGTTAATTATCAAAATAGGACTAAAAGTCATTCACTTTTCACAAATAGGACCAAAAAATAAACTATGTTTGCATAGGACTAATTATGTGTCTCTTGGACAATTATACCCTTATAGCTATTAAAATGATTTAATTCCTAATAAAATAATAAAAAATAATAAAAATTCGTAAAAAATACTAAAATATTAAGAAAAACATTTCGATATTAAAAATTTAATTAATTTTTTTTTTCAAAAAATTAAAAAAATTAAAAAAAAATTAATTAAAAAACAAAATAAAAACTCAAAAATAAATCGCCGCCGCCTTCCGCCTCAGCACCACCACCTCCAGTCACCAGGGGAAAAAAATGTCAAGTTCATTACGAATGCCATATTTATGGCAGAAAAAAATGAAAATGTTGGCATTCGAAAAGAGAAATATGCCACTTTTTTGGCATTTTCAGAAAAAAAGGCATTTTTCTGGGAAAATGACATTTTTTTCATCGGCCGGAGGTAGTACAGGCGGTGGGAAAGGCATCCATATTTTTTTGAATTTTTTTTACGGAGTTTTACTATTTTTTATTAATTTTTAAAAAATAAAATTATTTTAAAAAAAAATTGAATATTTTATTTTATAAAAATTTTATAAATTTTTTAATTATATTTCTACGAATTTTTGAATTTTTTTCGAATTTATTATGAATTAAACATTTAATTATGGCTTTTGACTATTTTTAATTCATATTTAATGGAAGGGTAAGAATGGAATGCAAAAATAGTTATGTTTCCGATAGGACTCATATGGTCCTATTTTGAAATAAAAACATAGCAAGTCTTATTTTAGGTTTTTGCCATAGTTTTAGTCTTATTTGAACTAATTTCTATTAATACATCCATATGGCTTTACATAACTTCAATATACTACTATCATCAGTTCATGCTTTACAGTACATAAAATAAAAGTACCTCGAAATCCTGCACTTGCTTTTGTTGCTCAGCTTGCAATCTCCCGATTGTACTTATAACCTCCCCCAATGTAGACTCTAACCGCTCGCTAAGAACTTCCCCTATAGCTCTCCCCAAGAAGAAAGCATCAAGAATTGTTTTACTCTCAGCCTCACCTGCGAACTCCATCGATCATTCAAGCTTAATCTTTTTGAGTTATTCTAACAACGTAAGTTTCTTAAAGATCTGCGGATTAACGCCAGTAACTGAAACCACAGATTATGAGAATCGAGAAAACCTAGAGAAGAGAAAATGAATTACCAGGACCAGTGCCGCCGGGAGCCGTACTACATCTGCATCTCAATGTCAATCTCCGGAAGTGACGATTCAAGGAAGGAAGAGGCTTGTTTGGCAACGGATGTTGCGGAAGATGAAGTTTTGATTGAGTAGCAGGAGACGAAGAAACTAAGGAGAAAGAAGATAGAGAGGCCAAGCCCATCTTATGCTGCTCTTTCTTCTTCTCCTCGGATGGAATCCTGAAACTGTACTTTCTTTCAGTTTTTAAGTAGGTCGACGACCTACTCGGTAACTGGCTCGTTCAGCGTGGAAGTTTTAGGACAAATCACCAAATCTTAATTTGAAGTGCTGAAAAGCCTGAAATGTGTAATCATAAAACAAAGGCGGAACATAAACGAGAGTTACGGCGAACGTGAACAAAGGCAGAACACTCAGAAATTTTCGGAGTAGCTGGAAGTGTTTTAGAGCTCAAAAATATGTGAGGAATGTATTGTGTTGTGTTGTTGCAAACCACCTGCCAGTTATTTATAGGAGGATTTGTTGTGTGTAAAATGTAGTGTTAATGGACCTGAACGTTGGACATCAATGACCAGTCTGTTGGGCATTGAATCGTCCATAAACTTTCCATTTAACGCAGCATTAAAAGACAAGAACGTTGGGCATTTATTGCTGTAACGGACCAGAAGACCTCGAGCGTCTCTGTTGCGACCAGAAGACCTCGAGCGTCTTTGTTGCGAACAGAAGACCTCGAGCGTCTCTGTTGCGAACAGAAGACCTCAAACGTCTCTCTGTTATGAACAGAAGACCTCGAGCGTCTCTGATGCGGAGCAGTTCTGTTGAGAACAGAACCCTCTTCTGGTCCGGAGAGAAACGAGAAGAAACCAAAAATAAATTGTATCTTTGAATGATAGATTTTCGGACGACATTCGTGTCCGCAGGTCGCCCGCGCACACGAGTCACGGTTTTTCTTCGGAGCAGTTCTGTTGAGAACAGAACCCTCTTCTGGTCCGGAGAGAAACGAGAAGAAACCAAAAATAAATTGTATCTTTGAATGGAAGATTTTTGGATGACATTCGTGTCCGCAGATTGCCCGCGCACACGAGTCACGATTTTTCTTCTCCGTTTTGGGATTTGATCAGAACCCCCCCTGCGCGTAAGAGAGAGCCTTTACCTTTAGGAATCTTAACTCCTTTAAAGAGACTTATCTTTATCAAGGGGTCAAAATCCCTTGAATTTTCCGGTGTGGTATAAAACACACTAGAAACCCATCATTTTCTCAGTTTTTCCATTTCAACGAGTGAACTTCGAGAATCAATTTCTCATTCACCCGTTATCCGTTTTGAGCGTATCATATATCGAATTGTAGCTCTTAACAAGGACAATCCGAAACCACTTTGATCCGACCCAAATCGGAAGTGGACCCCACTCAAATAATTGCACCAAAATGATCATTTAATGCAATTTTTAACACATTTTTCCAACAATCTCCCACATGAATGAAAATTGATTTTCGAGACTTAAAAAGACACGAAGATAGGAGGACACATTGTGTTCACCGGATGATCCTTGCATACGGAGAGGTAGGTTTTATCCTTTGAACCTTCCGCTGTAAAGACACATTTATTTACTGGCTGTCTAGTAGACTCGATGTCCTTGAACTATATTGTCGTCATGTAAACATTGACTTATCTTTACACAAGAACCTTCCAACTTTGTCCCGTTCTCATGGGTGTGCCCGTTTTGTCCATATGTCATCGTCCTGGTTCTGCAAGAGTTTCTAAAGAACCGAGCCTTTACAGTTCTCCTTTGAAGCGACCCTCTTCTCTCTCACATAGGTGATTCTTTCACGAGTATCCCGCATACTCTTCCAATGTTATCGAGTAGATCAACATTTTAGAATCATTAAAGCAAACGTTTTTGCTAACCTCATGCGGGAGTCACTGTTTTTAACGAGGAGTGAGTAGAAGTCCGGGACCCCCATAGTGACCATCCTTCGCTCTATAGTTTAGTTGTCCCTTTTGAACCTAGGACCAACTAGGTTGGATATCCACTATAAAACTTTTCAATTCACGAGCTTTAGTCCCATTCCTCGTGACAACTTCTCCAACAATTCTCTATCCAGAGCCTTGGTTAGAAATTGCGCTAGAGTTTTTAAGAGTTATTGGTGTCAGTACAATATAACAATAAAGAATGAAATGAAAGAGAGATTTTCAAAAATATTATAATGAAACTTATTTTCAAAAATATTATCAAAATTTATGAGCATAATGTTATGGTCATTTAAGTGTAATAATGGAACATAAGTTACTATGGCTAAGTTATTACATAGTAATTACCTTAAGAATTCAATACACTTAAGAAGTCACCTTTTTGTATATAACATTTGTTTTAGTCATAAATATGAAATATGTAATTATTTCGGAATTAAAAGTATGAGTTTTTTGCCCTAAATAGGATTAAATCATTGCTTAAATTCCTAAATGGGAGTAGGTATATTTCTATTCCCTAAGTAGGACTATTGTACTCATTTACCCCTCCATTTAATTCTTATCGCACACTCTTCCTTATTTCTACTCACACCTATGCACCTCTTTGTTATCTATCGTACCTGCGCAACTCAGCCTCAGGGAGCACTTCAATGTGACGAACAGAGGCAACGAGCAGCAGTGGCGACAGAGATCGGCGAAGCTGCGGTGATGAGTGGCAGCGAGTGGCGAGCGGTGAAGGTGAAGGAGCGGCGGCGAGCATTGAGCAACGGCCGGCGGCGTCCTTAAGTTCAGATCTGTTTGTAATTTAGGCACGTTGTTCTTTCTGCCTCTTGGTTCTTCTTCATCTTCCTCAATACCTCCTCTCTATTCCGTTTCTCTCTTTCCCTCTCTTCGAAACTTCAGATGCAATCGAAGATGGTATACTTGATGCACATCTTCATTTCATTTGATTTTTTTAAAAATGCCAAATTTTATTTAAAAAATGCCATTAAAATGGCCTTTTAACTCTTCAAAAATGCCATTAAATTGGCATTTTAACTCTTCAAAGATGACATTTTTCTTTTGAAAATGCCATTAATATGGCAATTTTTATTCATATTGGCATTCGTATAATATTGTTGGCATCAGTGACAAGGATTGCGAGAACCGCATTGGGGGAGGCTTGATCCGCCTCGGCCGGATCTACGGCATCGATTGTATTTACGACAGAGGCAGCTAGATCTACGGTGGTGGTGGCCAGATATGCGACAACGATGGCCGGATCTGAACTGGCAGCAACCAGATGTGTAGTGGCGGTCATTCTCCGGCGACCGTTGACCGGTGACCGGCGGCCAACGACCGGCAGCTGGCGACCGGTGGAGGTCCGGTGTCCTGTTTTGACAAAGTTCAGGGTATTTATGTCCAAGTCCAAAAAATAGCTCCTTTTTGGGAAAATATTAAATATTACTCCTATTCTAGCAATTAATGATTTGTTTAGTCCTATTTAGGGAATAATCCCTTAAAAGTATTTGGTCAATATTTTGAAGCATAAATTGACTTTCTTAATTGACAAAAAATTAAAGACTCATACACACTTGACACTTATTGTAAGAGATACTTAAGACCAAGTCTATAACATTGGAAGACCAAAGAAGGAGACGCCGGACGCGCATGCTAAAACATTCAAACCTATGACCATAATAAGAAACCATCAAACTCTTGTATGCTAAAAGCCTAAAACACGTTTTCTTCTTTAACAGAAGTCAATGTGTGAAGATTTCAGTATTTTTGTTCTTCAATTTCATATGAAAAAAAAAGATATCCACGCTTCATTATTGAGATGTTTGTGAATATTATCAGCATTGAAGAAAATAAATAAAAAACGTATGCAGAACTAAAAAAAATTAAGAATTCAAATTAATACCAATGTGTTTTCAACCCATATCAGAGAAGTATTAGGAATATTAAGATTTTTTAATATATGGTATTGATAAATATCATATTTATTTCGAAACCTATGAGGCAATTCTTTGATCAAGATCATAAAGAAATATCAATTTGCATACCAAGAATGATTAAATGTATCAAAATTTGAATGAAAAGATGAACATATTATCAATAATATTTGATAGTGATAATTTATCAATTAATTTTGAACTTATTACATCGCTAGTGGATTTGATTTTGATCGATGTTATACTCGAAAATTTTAAGGAGCATGTGACATGCTCTTTATTGAGCACGTACTCCACTTTAAACACGGCTCCCACATTAATTACATCACTTTTAATTAAAATTTATTAATAAATTAACTTACCTACAGTCGCACGCTAGTTTCATTCTTCTACTCCTAAACCAACACTACATATTTAGACGCTTTAAGCTATCCCTAAATCCTCCGTTCTTCTGCATCGGACAAAATCAAGTGCATCATCCTAAACCAATGAAAGGTAATAAATTTTTATTCAATCTTTTTAATTTTTTTATTCAACGATAGCGTGCGATGTTGCATCTTTCTAATCTTCTACATATTTTTAATCCTTTATTAAATCAAGAAAGGATCATCCTCCATTCTTGACATATGGCTTATCAATTTTTTATTCAATCTTTTTACCCATATTTTTAAATAACGTAATTAATTTCTAATGTTACCCATATTTTTGTCGACAATTTTGATATATTTACCGTAGAAGTTACAGATGTTGTTTATTCAATTGTCTTTCGGCAGACGGCTTAGAGCACAACGAAAGTTACCCATGGATAATGATAGCGTACTGCCTACAGATGCAGATATTCTCAATATTTCATCAACGAATATACAAGAGAATGAAGGTTTTTCATCTTCACTACAATTCAATTAATGCCTTAATATACTATTATTTTTTACTCTCTTCGTTCCAAAAATATTAGCCAAATTGACTTTTCTTGATCAATGGTGGTGAAGTTTGACCAATGACATTTTTAATAAAAAATTATTTAAAATATGAAAATTATTCTTTATTTAAAAAATCTTTCATAAACGTATAAAATTTATAAATTACATACAAATATAATAATTTTTTAGACCATTGAGAATGTAATCCACTTTAATTACGTAATTAATTTTTTGTATAGTTTTTGTTACGTACATCACCAAAAAAAATCTCTTTCTAATCTTTTCGTATGTTGCAACGTTGAGATTATTTATTCTTGTATGTGTTTTAATCTCAAATAAAAACTACACTTTAGGCCAATAATTGTTGTCAAAACTTATTTATAATTGTTGAAATAATTTTCAGATCCAAAATAGTCCAATTTAAAACAAACTTAATTTCATATACTAATTCAAGATTCGGTGTAATATTATTATTTTTTTCAGATCTTTATTTTGAAGAAATGCCTAAATTAGGCCAACAAT